AGTGGCCGTCCTGTTTTAATTTCATCCTCCTTGGACGCCTAAGTGCCGCGTACGTACGTTTTAAAAAAATATGCAAATTTTTTGGCAGGAAAGCGATCTCGGGAACGGCACGAGCTAAGGAGTTGAAACTTCGTAGGGACATTCCCTGTGCATGTACTTGCTAAAGATTTCAAATTCAGCTCCCAGTTTTACGTGGTACTCACGTAAGGGCGTATGAAAGTTTTAGGAGGAAAATTGCTAACTCGGGTACCAAAAAAGCTGAAAGGCTGAAATTTTGAGAGAATGTCCCCTGTCCAAGTACAATACAAATGTTTCAAATTCAGCCCCAGGCTATGTGTGGTACTCACGTAAGGGCATAAGAAAGTTTCTGCGGGAAAATTTCAACTCGGGAGACAGGAAAGCCAGAAAGTTGAAGTTTTAGGGGGAATTTCCCTATCTAAGTACAACTTACGTATTTCAAATTCAGCCTTGAAGTATGCATGGCTCTTTCGTACGAGCACTTAAAAGTCTTGACGAAAAAAATTTCTCACTGAACAAAAATTTCTACTTTTAAAGAACGACTGTTAAGTGGAAATTGTACATTTACTTTGCAAAATTTATGGTGATTTATACTAGTGAACGCAAAAGTTAGTTGTAAAGCAACAGCCTTTCATACAGTTAATGACCTGAGTAATTAAAGTCCGGTTCAAAAACGCATGATCGCACAGATCCGCCCGGTACGTTCCAGCCTGAGTTGCAATTGGCATATATGCAAAAACGCATTAAAAATGATCGTTAAACGGAAACTGTTTATTTCTCCTTATGCAAAATGTGCGATGATTTACGCTGATGAGTACACAAGATGAACGCAAAGCTGCAACCTCGTACTGTTAAATGATTTGATTGCTTCAAGTCTAGTACAAAAATACATGATTGCATCGACAAGCTTGGGGATTTTTAGAAGACGTTCTTCACTGGCTTACATGCAGCTGATCGATACGTAAATATCAACATCACATGCAAGTTAATTTGGAATGCTGAACATGTGCTTCGTGCATTTTTGACCCATTCATTTCGTAATAACCGTTTCTCAACTCATTCTATACTGAATTTATTTGAATAAAGCACTCTGAACCTATTGCTGCAGTGATAGTGAAGAATTATCTCAAATAACCGACTTATGAGCCGAAAAATTGTCTTTTTTAGTTCATATACCGCCCCTCTCGATGTATGCTTTTGCGCTTACATTTCGGCGTAGCTTGCCAACACCAATTAAATTCCATTTAGCGAAAAAAGCTGGCTTATGACTTGAAGCGAAGGAGAGGCTAAACTTACTTCTGCGCTAGTATTCCGCCGCTTTTGCAAAATCAACTTTTGTTTACATAATCCGCGAAAGCAAGATTTCTAGTTTATTACTAGAACGCAAGAACAACGATTGTTGACCTTACGAATACCTCAGTCAATGACTTATGAAATGGAAAATTGCTTTTCATTTTATCAATAGAGAGTAAAAGAGCGAATTCTGAATGGGAGCTAAAGAAAAAATAAAACTGCAGAGCGTCTGGACGTTTAACAAGCGTTTTCACCTACTTTCCATTTGTCATGCTTCTTTTGCATCCATGAAATGCAAATACGCATATTT